ATTTTTTTTCTGATCCTATAGTGAAAATTTAACAAATACCTCTTATACACTTAATTAAGATACATACACGCTGAAAATTGCAAGGTATAAGTTTGTTCAAATTTCAAATGTTTCAAATGTTCATTATAGGCTCACATAAAAAAGTTGAAAAAAGTGTCTGTTACTACTTTTGTTTCGTTATTCCGATGAATTGCATGTTTTCTCCAACATTTTCTTACACAGTATTACACAACTCATTATAATTGAATATATAATATGTATATAAGAAAGGATGGTAATTTGAAAAAAAGAACGATTATTATATTTTTAAAATTTATTGGATGTAATAATTAATATACACCGACCGGTCACCGCGCTGGCCTCCTCGCTGGCCTCCGCCCTGGCCACCACGGCGGCCGCAGAACAACATACTCCGAATAGCTTTTTTAATCTGAAACAGTAAAATAAAAATTAGATGTTTTAATTACAGCCGTACATATACAGGGTGGCCCACATAACTCTTAACAGCTTAATATCTCGAAAACTATGCCATCGATTTTAAAGTTCTTGATCCTAAATTGCATGAATCTGAAGGGCGTTTCTAACTACATAAACGTGAAATGGCCCCCTCTTCCCCTTTAAGGGGGGGCGGGGGTACCTTTATAATTTTATACAGGATGTTCCAAAAATATCGAACAAAAATACATATGCATGTACTACCATTCTATTCGAAATAGACAATTCCTTTGAACCGGGTGAGAGACTAGAATACTCATGAGCAGAGTTGAGCACAGAATTGAGCAAAACTGTTTATCTAATAAACATCTTCGCAAAAATTTTATCTAAGTAAAAATTGTGATCAAAATGATATATCATCGACAATATTGCGAATGACATTGACTTGGAAGAAGAAAACAAATAATGAAACCAAGAATCATTTCATGACAATGCGGTAATTATCTAAAACAGGGCTGAGCAGGAGCAGAGTTTTCACATACGTACACAATAACTAAAAGTCAACACTTTTACTTACAATTGCCATTGTTGGCTCTAATTCACATTTTTCCGTTCCTTGCTCTTTCTCCTTTTGGTTTTCTTTTGTTTCCGGTTCCGGTGGAAGTTCGGAGACTTCCATGACACTTTCCGTCACGTTGTCCATGTCTAAATAAAATTATTTATGTAAGACCTTATCATAAATAATATTTACACTGTAACATGCTATACTTTGCGGCAGTGGATAACAACACTTTCGGAAACATTGCTTTACACTGTACGGGATTATAATACTCACTTTTTTTTCGTGTACTCACTACTCACGTTGGTGAAGCGTTACTATGATTTGATCAGTGATGTCAGAATCGTGGAACTTGCTTCCACCACCACGACGTCCTGGCTACCCCCACTTTATTCCACAGTTTCTGCCACACAAGCATACTTTGCTTCTATCCGTGTGAGGTGGCCCGTTCGGGTGTTTCCGTAAGATCAACGTTGCCAACGCGACTCCCAACAACCAGAGCGCGTGCGCAGAAACCATTTCGTGTGGTGACGTCCTGTTTACCCCCACTTTACGTCCACCGTGCTGGTACACACAAGTATATCCCAGCCCTGCTATCTATGTGCGCTGGCCGTTCTAGAGACGGTGAGCTATATTTAGAAAAGAGTGGGAGTAAAGCGACCCACGATTCTGGCATCACTGGTTGCCTTGGAAATCCTGTTCGAATACGACTGCGGCGAAAATTCACGTTCTCGACGCGAAACCCCGCAACCTAAGCGCGTGAGCAACAGTCAAGAGACCCTGTGTGGATCCCAATGCGGCGGTTTTACTTTTTATTTTTAATTATTTTATAATTTCACTTTGTAACCTCTAAGTAAAATAAAAAACTTAAAAAATATTAATTTGTGAGGCATTTAAAAAGAAGAAAATAAATGTTCTCCACTTCAATATTTAAGTTTTGTATTCTATACATACATATTTTGTGAACACACAAATTATTCTTACAATTAGATGTTACTATTGCAGCACATAGAAATAAAAACATTCGTAGCAAAGTCCCATTAGATTAATTTGCGCTTCTGACAACTGTTGCATCTGCTCCACGTAGATACGATGTTGTACAGTTGTT